TCTTATCTAAAATTGTTACAGTAGGTTTATAAGACGTTTTAACAAGTTTTTTAGAAGGTTTTAAAATTAAGTGTCTTTTTAGATATTTTATAAGACACTTTTGAGAAGTGTCCTATAAACCCATTTTTGTATAGAACAATTTTTCAAATAGTGTCCGTATAAAATAGTTAATACGACACATTATTTTAAAAATGTTCTAAAACATTTAATTAAAAAAAAGCCTAAAAACGGCCTCTAAACCTATTGTAACACTTTTAAATATGATGTTTTTTTATTTGATCCTATAAAGTATTTTTTAGGACACTTCTACATTTTAGACGTTTTATAAAACCAATTTTTATTGTAGCGTGGGATAAGAAAGCCATTGAGAATTTTGGGACAACATATTTTTATCCATAAGTAATTAAATGGTGAACAACCAACAAACGTGTCCGAAAACGTAAGAACATCTTCAACAGCTATGTTAAAATAGAGAAGAAAAAAAAAAGATTTTAGCAATTTTTTTGCTATAAGAGGTATGCTAACTTATATACTAAAATAGAGAAAAGTGGAAATAGATTGTAAAAATTTCTAAATTTAGGGAAATCTCTAAATATAGAAAAAAATTATTATTTTAATACTTTCCATCAATAAGATGTATTTATAATAAATGTTTAAAAAGATAAATAATATATTTTAATAAAATAATTAAATTTAGAATTGCTAAAATAAAGTAGCTGTGTGATCAGTTGCATTTATTTTTTCGACAGATCCTAACTTTTAATACTTTATTTTAGAGAAAATATAACATAGCTGTAATCATCAGATAATTCCAAAAGGATTAATCATCAACCATGTGGTTGCTGTTTTACTTTTCCTAATAGTTATTAAAGTTGAGTACCAATGGATCTATTTTTAGGGTTTTCTAGGGTTCCTTTTCTTGTTCTTTCTTGAAATTATTTTGGTAGCTAGGGTTTCATGTATGGTCAATTAGCAGAAGCCCTAGAAATCAACAGTTGTTGGGGTCAGCATTAATAAGTTACAAATGGTAGTTGTGCAATCATAAAAGTTCTGTAGCAACCAGATACATGTTCAAAACGATATCGTTAATTACTTGTATATTCATATGTACACACTACGACAAATTTGGGTTTATAGGACACCTTCAATCTTTAAGCGTCCCAATAAACTGCTTTATAAGACCAAAATATAAAGTGTCCTATCTAAAGGTGTTGTAATAAGTTTATATGACGCTTTTGAACGTCTTAACAAGTTTTTTAGGACATTTTTAATAGAAAGTGTAACATTAACAACTTTATAGCACACTTTTGAGAAAGTGTCCTATAAACTCGATAGTTTAAAGGACATTTGTTTTTATAAGACAGTTTTTTAAATAGTGTCCTATACAGTTGCTAATGGGATGTTTTATATTAAAAGTGTCCTAAAAAACTTATTACGACGTCAAAAAACGTCATATAAACTTATTACAACGTTTTTAGATAGGACGATTTATTTTTCTGGTCCTATAAACTATGTCTTATAAAAAGGTATATTAGGACGTTTAGAAATTGGGAGTGTCCTATAAACCCGATTTTATTGTAGTATGTTTAATTAATACTTTATCTAAAATTAATCAAGAAATGTGCATTATTGTAAACAAAACAAACTCTGAACTCTAAACCCTATATGTATGTATGTACCACAAATATCTAAAGATTTAATAAAAAATGAAATTATATATATATATATATATATATATAAATTGTTTACTGGGTTCGTTATGATCTGTCGGTGATCATCAAAAGATTGTTGTCGAACCTTTTGATGATTAATTTTTCATTCTATTAATATATTGTTTACTTAGTGTTATCGATAACCCGTCAGTGATGTGTTGAATCACCGACGGTAGATCTATCGTGCTAATGGAAACATAAAGCAAACATTGGCCTTGTCGTTTATTCATTGGAAACACAGACGGCCTCATCTGTCGGTGATGGTATGTTTTCTACCTGTGGGGTTTTGTTTCCAATTTAATTTGTACTGTTCAGGGCATGACCTTTTCGTACGTGCTTTTGGTGTATCATATGAACTATTGAAAAATGACAAAAAAAAAAATAACACAACAACAAAAATGAGTTTATAGGACGTCAAAAAAATGTCTCAAGTATCTCAATAGAGTACTTTATAGGACTTAAGTTTATAGGAACAAATGATCAAACATTATATCTAAGAGTGTTGTAATAAGTTTATAAACGTTTTTGGATGTCTTAGTAGGTTATTTACAATTTTTTTAACAAAACGTCGTATTAGCTAATTTATAGGACAGTATTTGGAAAAGTGTCTTATAATAAGTTGTCTTTACAGGACACTTCTCAATATATAGTGTCTTACAGAATGGTTAATATGACACTTTATTTTAAAAATGTCTCAAGAAACTTTTCAATACGTCTAAAAGCTGTCATGTAAACTTATTACAACGTTTTTAGATATGATGATTTATTGTTTGGTCCTATAAACTTAAGACCCATAAAGCGATATGCTAAGATACTTAGACATCGTTGGAATCCTATAAACTTGATTTTGTGTTAGTGCAAACATAACCCCTTCATAGATCTCATGAAAACATGATATATTGATCTCCCTCATCGTTCCCTAAAGAAAATCTCACTATAACAAAATTGGGTTTATAAGATACCTCCAATCTTTAAGCGTCCCAATAAACTGCTTTACAGGACTTAGTTTATAAGACCAAAATATAAAGCATCCTATCTAAATGTGCTGTAATAAGTTTATATGACGCTTTTGGACGTCTTAACAAGTTTTTTAGGACATTTTTTAGAAAGTGTCCTATAAACTCGATATTTTATAGGACATTTGTTTTTATATGACAGTTTTCAAATAGCGTCCTATAAAGTTGCTAATGGGACGCTTTATATTAAAAGTGTCATAAAAAACTTATTACGACGTCAAAAAACGTCATATAAACTTATTACAACGCCTTTAGATATGACGTTTTATTTTTTTGGTCCTATAAACTAAGTCTTATAAAGAGGTCTATTAGGACGCTTAGAAATTGAGAGTGTCCTATAAACCCGATTTTGTTGTAGTGTCTAGAGCCATTTTAATTCAAGAACGAACCTAAACATAATGAAATACAAATTAATCAACGATATCAAAGTTCATCTCATCGTTAAAAAAATGGCGGAATTCTTTCAGAAAATCGGTTTTTAGCTTTGATATTGAACTCAAAACAAGACTTGTTTTAACAAAGACAAAAGTTGTATATTTGAGTCTTTTTTTTTTATTAATCTGGATATCCAACCCGCTATGCGAGCCGACTAATCCCAGGGGAACCATCTGCTTTGCCATTAGCTCGGAGTCACCGCATTTGAACCTCCGTGGCCACAAAGGAATTTTTATTCCTCCTTGGATTTGAATATGAGACCTCCTGATACCTTTAACCTTTAAAGTCAAGCTCAAACCAATCAGGTACCACCTACCTTAAAGTAGCCGAGTCTTTGTTTTTTGGGACCAAAAGATATACATATATAGAGGTCAAGCATGGTCCAATGAGCAATAACACCAGTGGGATGTCTATGAGTAACCTCTTACTTTTTGGTCCCTCATCTAATGCCTGCAGGCTCCATCTATATATGATCCTTCTTAATTAGTACACAACCACAGCTTTCTTGATGAATCCACATCCTGTTATATGAACTCATCCAATTCATTCCATTTTTAACCATATTTAGTAATTATAGTTACACATAAATTAATTAATGGTATTTCTTTGAAATCGTAAAATTTGATATCATTTTTTTTATTAACCTGGATATCCAACCCCTTATGCTAGCCGACTAATTCCAGGGCGACCACTTGCTTTGCAGATAGTCCGAAGTCACCGCATTTGAACTTCCGTGGCCACAAGGGGATTTTTATTCATTCTTAGATTTGAACGACCTTCTAGTACTACTTTTGACTTTTAAAGCCAAACTCAAACCAATCAGGCACCAACCTTGTGTTTTTGATATCATTTTATTGATGGGTGATTTAAAATAGTTAAATAAGTGTCATAAGACAGCTTCCTGTCAAGTCAAATGTTGTAATTTCAAAAGGGTTTTTAATATATGGATCTATGCACCTCTAGATGGAGCAAATTTATTCAAAACATCATTTTAGGGTTTGTGAACTAGGGTTTGGGTATGGAATACCAAATTAGTATATATATATATATATATATATATATATATATATACACACACACACACACTAACAGTTTAAGGATTCTATTAGCATTCATTAATTATAGGGTTTGTTACCTATGGTATTAGGGTTTCCATTAGCATTTCACATTAGGGTTTGTTACCTATGGTATTGGGGTGTTCCATTAGCATTTCACATTAGGGTTTGTGTTAGCATGCATTCCATTTTTTGATAAAGGATTAGTATTTCAAATTAGGGTCTGTTTACTAGGGTTTTAGGGTTTGTAACCTAAAGATGCACCACAAGCTCGTAATGTCGAAAGCCGCCTTAATTAAGGACAATCACACTTGCTTAATTAACAGTTTAGGGAGCTAGGTCTCATCTCAACATCGATATGATAAAAAGTACATACGTAAAATGCGTGCCTTATCTTGTCACTAGTTACACGCGTTGTTCAAAGGTTATAATTTGTCATCATCAATAACATGTGTTGCAAATGGCCAAGTTGATGGTGTATTAATCCCTTTTTTGTACTATATATAGGGAAACATGGTCCCGTATGGTCGGAAAAGGTTATCTTTATCCACATTAATTAGCGTATTTATACATAAACGTTTGTCATTGACACATAACAACGTGAATAGTGAATAATGAACGGAATGACTATATATATATAACCAACTGCATCACTCAGAGACTGTTCAGTTTGTGGTGTGCACTTATCTACACCGCTTGTCGGCTGACATTGACACCACTGGTCACAAAATCTCGACATCAATTTTCTTTCTTCTGCGTGCAATGACAACATAAGATGAACCAATATTTATAACGTTATCAATTCTGTGTAGTTTACTGCCAAAACGGTTGAAGATCTGATTTCTTCTGCAGCTAGCTCATATATACATACATACAGCAAAGATCAAACAGATTGTTCTTGTTCATCTGTGGATTTCACTTGGAGCTATCATGAAGATCTGAACTACTTGCTGCACCTCGAGGTGAGTTCATCTTCTTATGATCATCTGTGTGTTACTTTCAACTGAGCAATCACAGATTGATCTCAAGCTAACGTTGTATATTCTTGTAGATTGGTTGTGAAAATTAGGATTTCAATTTTGATAAAGCTAACTTAGAATCAATACCCATGTTTCAGAATGTTTCACAATCAAAGAAATCAAGAACTCGGATAAAGATTCAGTTTGAAAATTAGGGTTCCAATCTGCCAAATGGTGCAAAAGGTAAGATGATCAATAACACTTATGATCAAGAAGGTGATATCAACCATCAAAAACTAGCAAACATTAGTCCAATCTCAAGGCCATATTCCGGCTCAAATAATCCAAGAATTGTTAGGGTATCGCGCGAATTTGGAGGGAAGGACAGGCATAGCAAAGTCTTGACCGTAAAAGGATTAAGAGACCGAAGAATCAGGCTTTCTGTACCTACAGCTATTCAATTGTATCATCTTCAAGATCAGCTCGGATTAAGCCAACCGAGTAAGGTCATAGATTGGTTGCTTGATGCCACTAAAGATGATATCGATAAACTCCCACCTCTCCAAATGACACCAGAAGGCTTCAATCGGTTCCATATTCCACCCAAGTTTGTTCCTCAAGACTTCAATTCTACACAACTTGCTTTTTCGCCATTTTTCAACGCTTTGAATTACGATCATAATCTCATCGATGGAATAAATCAGCAAAGAACGAATAAAGGGAAAGAAGCTATGCAGGCAGAAAACAAGTATTGCAATTACTCTTATGATCATCTTCAGCCATCTTCGAATCTATCTATATCGCGATTCAGCCACCAACCAGCTGATGGTAATTATGCATCTATACTTCCTTATTCTTCATTGTCTTCCACATCCGATCCCCAGTTTTTCTCATGCTTTTCTGGCGCAACAACGCCTTCATTTTTCCCTCCATACCTCATGCCTAATCACTTCCAGTTCTTGAGCTCATCGAATTCGGTTCCCCTCAACCTTATTGACAGTACTCAAGAGAAAGTAGTACCCTTTGGATTGAATATGAATTCTAAGGTCAGTCCACAAAGCAATGACGATGGCTGATTACTCAACAATGGCGAAAGTGCTGAAAGATTTAAAGCAGTTAATTAGTTGTTCAGGAAGAGAAAGACTAGACGCAGGTTTACTAATCGATCGTGTGTAATTTATTTATAGTGGAATATATATTTTCTTTGGGTGGATTAATTAATTAGCTTTAATAATGAAAAGGGAAATCAAGTTTGGTAAATCATCATGATTTTATGGCATATACATATACATATACATATACATATACATATACATATACATATGAAATTGTTGATCATAGCTTTCATCTTTCTTTCTAATGAGTGATTATATATCTTCGAATCAATGTGTTCGACCATACTACATGTTTTTATCATAAATAAACCATCGTTTTTGGGAAATTCGTAAAAAAAATATCAACATATAGCTCGGAAAATGCGTAAGACATGGTTTTATATTCCATAGACTACCTTGCTTACTTGTTTTTTTTTAAATTCCCACCACTCCCTCCTTTGTATAATGGGAAAAGAGAACACAAGGACCAAAGGATAAAGCTATTAACCAACTTTTACATAAACCAGATGATAAGTCACGATCCCTCAAAAGATAGTACGAAGACAAGAGATCAACTTTGTACTGTTAAATCTTCAAATCTGCAGGAGATGAGTTGTAAATAAGATGGATAAGATCAAAAAATATTCACTTACTTTTGCCAAATAGCCATCAAAATCATCCTACAGCCCATGTTGTAGCATCATTTTCCAAAACCTTGATTTTTATCCCAAAGATCACCAAGCTATATTGTTTATACTTTCAAGCTCCATAAACAAGAAAAATATGATAAAATAACGAAAAAGACTCGAGTCGTCCATTTAAGGACGTAAAACATAAGAGAATATTGGGGAAATTATATCATATTATCAATATAAATAATACGCATCAATTGTCATTGTACGTAACCAAGTATTGCCCTTTAGAAGAGAAACTAATTTTTATTTAACGTATTGTGAAAATTTTAAATTAGTCGATTTTTTTCACAATTTTGGGGTGTTACAGGTCATTTCTTTAAAAAAAACATCAAGAGACTTGATCATTCAAAATAAGTGAATGGTTTTTTCTTCAAAAAAATAATTCAGAAACTTAATCATTCAAAATGATAAAGTTCATTGAATTTTTTTAAACTTTCCTCATAAAGTAAAGTAAAACTGTATAGATTTCAAAAATTGAAGGATTATTTTGTAATTATAAAACTTTTAATGAAAAAATGTGTAAATGAATAATGTTACACTAAATTTGGTATTTTACTATTTATAAATTTCAAGGCAAATCATAACGTATTCATTGTAGTGAAAAATGGTGCAGAAAATAGGTTTGCACACAAAGTCTCGTTATGATGCATTTTGACCAAACGTGACCGCTAAGATTAAGACCATTACCAGTTGAACAGACAACAATTATTAAGGCCAGTTAAAACCAAAATGCATGTTAGAACCAAATATTATAACACAGGGTTGAGTTTTCGTGAGAATGAAAGTTATGGTGAGAAAGGTAAGAAGATATCTTTATCCTTGAATTAATCCTAATTTTAGAGAAACACTAAATCAACACTAATAAGATATATCAGATCAATTCTCTTTTAAAGCGTGATTCATAGGATATTTTGGATTAAAAATTGATCAAAGGTCTAAATCTCTTGTTATACTTCTGACATTAACTTTTATTCTCACACGATCCTTTGTCTTATAACCAGTTATCATTCTCTAAGAAACAATCGTAACAAAAATTGCCGTTGAAGATCCCTCGATCACCTTGTAAACCCCATCTAATTATCAACGGATTTCATAAATAATTTAATGTTAAAATAAATACTTTTTAAATATATAGTTGTCAGTAATTCATTAGCAATCAACAGATTATGTCAAAAAAATTAATTTGAAAATAAATATTTTTTGATATACTCTTGTCAATAATTTTCAAAAGCATAACGTCGTAAAGTTATCGCTTATTCATCGATGTATAATTAGTAATAAGTTACCAACGGATGTCCCTTTCTTGATAATTCCTTAGTAATCTGTCTATACACCGTGGCTGTTTTGATTTAAAAATTTGTGGTTTTTCTTTGATTATCCAGCTATAATTACTAAATAAATAGTTCGGTTAGCAAAATCCGTCAGTGATACCCCTTTTTTATAGTAGTGGGTGCTAAACTCGGTGTCTGTCATTAAAAGAGGTATAGTGTGGCTATTGTAGCTTGGATAGCTAGACCATTGACCTAATGTTTCAGACATGTTAACGTACTTGGTTAAACTGGTAGAAAATTGTTTAAACCATACTTGTGAGAGTGACTATCTTACGGTAAGACCATCTCTAACCCAATTATTAAAGAAACATTAAAAATGGTGTGTTGTTGAAAACTGTTGGTCTCAAATGAGATGACAATAAACAGAAAGTAATTGTATAAGGGTAGTTGACTACAATTACACAAAAAAATTTAATTTTTTAATTATTATTGATGTATACCAAGAATTAACACACATAAATACAATACAGATTGTTGCGGAAGAAGTAAAGGATAAATCTATCCTAAACAATCTTAGAAAGAGAAGAATTTACAAGAACAACACTACAAAAATGCTGGGTATCAGCGAGGGAAAATTCCCTCGCTGATCCGTCGCTGAAAGGGGTTTCCGTCGCTGATCCGTCGCTGATACTCCGTCGGTCAAACAGTCGTAGGTAATGCTATCAGCGACGGATCAGCGACGGAAATCAGCGACGGATT